TCTGGCCTCTACCATATTTTAATGGGTGAACGATTTTTCTCATATATGTGGTTATAAAAAGGCTTTTGTGGTGCTCACTTTATTTTGATCATATTTTTCTAAAGATCATGAATCTTTCCCCAGATGAACCATAATGGCACCTATTTACTTCAAATCCTGTCCTAGTTAAAAGTTCAAAAGAAAGTTGCTCCTGTGATGGATTTAAACAACTCTGGAGTTGTTTTCCTCACCAAAAATTGTTGCTGATGGTTATCTAGTCACCCTGGGTAAGAAAATAAGTAGCCAGGTCACCAGGGTGGGGACTAACAACTCCCAGGCTTTTCTGCCCTCCCTAGTACAGCTTTTGACCATTTAAATGCCACAAAAGAGATCTAGCACAGTTGCTTTGTCCCAGCTCCACTGTGCCTACAGCCTCCTTGCATTTTAATTAGGGTAAATAGTACATTCCTATTCCAGGCTGTGCTCCCTTGGCTTTATTCTTAGGTGGAATAACTTAAAAGGCACATTCTTTTGTTTTGTCCTCCTCCTCCTCTGCTAGAAGGACTCAAAAAAGTAAAGGGAACTAAAGGAGAGGAAAGGAGTATCCTAGACAGCATCTCTCCATGTAGCTACTTCTTGTGTGTATGTGCAGCCCTGTCTTTCCCAGTATTTCTTTGCAAACCAGTATGTCAGATGTGCAACAATCGGCTGGGTAAGTACAGAAATGAAAAACCAGGAGCCACAGTGTCAGTCCCACTCATCCTTCTCATCTTCCTATCAGTTACTCTTAGGCTAAGACCTCAAAAAGGACATTAACAGGGAAGGTTACCATCTATCACAAAAATTTTTCTCTGTCCCCAGACTGGAAGACACAGAATTCTAAAGTATGAGCATTTACTAGAAGCAAGGATGACATAGGGAATATGAAAGGGAGAAACTGAAAATTACAACTATGTATTATAGGAAAGAATTAGTTTGCTCTGATAATGCTGATATGTCTAGGAAGAAGGCTGAAGCAAAAACAAACTTTCCACAGATCTTTTTCTCTGGCTGGACTTTACCAACTATATGGGCAGAAACATATAGATATAGTCTACATTTCACCAGTTCAAATTTTTGCATGTTTATATACATATCAAGCTTCTGTCTTGTCCGATTTCATTTGTATGTTGCCCATTCTATAATCATTTGTTTGACATACAAAAGTGAGCTATAGATCCTAGATCTGACAGATGGAAATTAATAAACTAAAAAAAGCATTTTTTTAGAATTAACAAGTGATAAATTGATGAACAAATCATTTTTTAAAAGCACCAGATGGCCATTTATAGTTAGTTGGGTTATCTACTAAGCAGTGAATTTTTCAAACAGGCACCACTGGTCCATAATAAAACTGAGAAAGAGCTCTGGGAAAGCCCCAGAGGTAACTGACAGTAACAAGGGAGGGTGTTTTGAAGTCTCATGTAATTCTTCACAGAAGACACAACTGATAGACCTGGCTATAAAATGAAGCTCTTGGACAAACAATTCTCTCAACACCCACCTCTTCCTTTGTCAGTTCCTTTCCTCTGTCAGTTCCAAATTCAGCTACCATCAGATGGAAACATTACTATCAACAAGAAAAAGTCATGTAGTAGTTGAAAGTCTTTGCATGGAAAGACATTTAGCTGACAACTAGAAGCAGATGGAAAAATCATAAGGGCACAAGTTAAGTTCTTCTTACTACAGGACTTACAAAGAAGCTGAATGAATTTCTGTTAATTTTGGAGCACTATACTGTGTCTTTGAATACTCACACCTATTAGAACTACAGAGATAAAGTGTTCAATAAAAAACCAGTGATTCAACAAGGCACCAGTGGCTCACACCTGTAATCCTAGCTAATCAGGAAGCTGAGAGCTCAGGCTCACAGTTCAAAGCCAGCCTGGGCAGAAAAGTCCGTGAAACTTATCTCCAATAAACCACCAGAAAATTGGAAGTGACCCTGGGGCTCAAGTGATATAGTGCTAGCCTTGAGTTGAAGAGCTGAAGGACAGTGCGTAGGCCCAGAGTTCAAGCCCCATGACCAACAACAAAAAAAAAAGGAATTCACATTGGTCATGGTGGCACATACCTGTAATCCCAGCTACTCAGGAGGAACTGTGAAAGGACTGTGTTCCAAGGTTGGCCTGAGCTAAAACATGAGACACTCTACGAACTGAAAAAACACAAAAAGACTGGGACTGTGGTTCGAATGGTATAGAAGGCCTTGAGTTCAATCCCTACACCTGTCAGAAGAAGAAGAAGAAAGAAGAAGAAGAAGGAGAAGAAGGTGAAGCAGCAGCAGCAGCAGCAGCAGAACGACGACGATGACAACGTAGTGGCTCAGTGAATAAATTATAAAAAACTGTAAGGTTTGGAGATAAAGCATAGTGGGCAGCATACATCTGCTAAGAGCCTGTGCTATTATAGATGTTCCTGGTTCAGTTCAGACTCACTCTCAGCATATCCAAATGGTTCCAGTTTAAGCATTTATAGACTTACTCCATTAGTTTCATGTGGCTACTGTAACGAATTATCACAAACTTGGTAGCTTCAAACAACAGTAATTTATTCTTTCATGATTCTGGAGGCCAGAAGTCTGAAATTAGAAATCAATACTGAAGTAAGGATGAGGATGTCAGCAGGCTGACACTCCCTCTGGAGACAGACAGGAGTAGAGAATCTGTTCCTTGCTTCTTCTGGCAAATGGATGTAGGCATTCTTCGGCTGTGGCTTCCTCACTCTAACCTTTAAGGCCAGCATCTTCAAATCTTTGTATTCCATCTTCACATTGTCTTCTCTGTATGGGCAAAATCTTTCTCTGTATTGTTTATGAGGGTGCATGTGATTGCATTTAGGGCTCACACAGATAACAATCAGGAATGTCTTCCATTTCAAAATCCTTAGCCAAAATACCTCTGTAAAAGCCCATTCCAAATAAGATAACACAAGCCTCAGGGAATAGAACTTGAGTGGCATGGGGTGACAACAGTCAGGGAATAGAACTTGGGTGTCATGAGGTGACAATAGTCAACCACCGAAACACAGTCACAACACTCTTTTTTTTTGTTTTTGTTTTTTTTTTTGTCGGTCGTGGGGCTTGAACTCTGGGCCTGGGCGCTGCCCCTCAGCTCTTCAGCTCAAGGCGAGCACTCTACCACTTGAGCTACAGCGCCACTTCCGGTTTTCTGGTGGTTTATTGGAGATAAGAGTCTCACGTTCTCTCCTGCCCGGGCTGGCTTTGAACCGTGATCCTCAGATCTCAGCCTCCTGAGTAGCTAGGATTACAGGCGTGAGCCACCAGCGCCCGGCTAGTCACAACACTCTTACTAAAAGAACAGAGCAAGCCTGGCACTGGTGGTTCACGCCTGTAATCCTACTCAGGAGGCTAAGACCTGAGAACCAGAGCTAAAAGCTAGCCTGGGCAGAAAATTTGTTGAAACTCATCTCCAGTCAGCAAACCGGAAGTGGAGCTGTGGCTCAAAGTGGTAGAACACTTAGCCTTGAGCAAAAAGAGCTCAAGGACAGTGCCCAGGCCTTGAGTTCAAGCCTCATGACAAAAACAAAACAAAACAAAACAAAAATAACAGTGAATGTAAGAAATCTCACCATGCCTCTAGCACTGTGAGAAACTGACTGTACACATCTGGGTCATTTCTGTGTAATGCCTGCAGTTACATATGTGCTATTATTAACATAGTACATGTATCCAAATATTTTGGAATTAAATTAAAATACAAGCTGCTCAACCACCTACAGAACAGAATAACTAACTTGAGGGAGTCCTATATAATCCAAGCAAAGAAGGCTAAGACCCAATTTCTTCTGTTTCTCAGTTGGCTTTGGCTCTACCAACCACTCTTTCTTATTGTTAAATACAATCCACGAGAGGAAATCCAGGGAGATCGCCTGAGAGGAGTTAGTTTGGGTAATAAAAATGTATCTTATAGCTTTTTACTTACTAGGTTAATTAATGGGTCATGGCTGGGGATTTGGCCACTGGCATTTTACTACCCCTCATCTTTAATCACCTTCATACTCTGCAAACATCCAAGGCTCTTTGGTTACTAGGTTAGAAACTGTTGAATGAGAACTGATTCTCCATGCCACTTCTAGCTTCTTGCTTTCCCATCAGGCATCAGGTCTTAAATTCCTCCTAAGGCAGAGAACTCCATGTCCATAGTGCTCAGTGAAATTTTCATATGAGCAGACAGCTGGGATTATTGATGTCCAAGCAATTTTCAAGCCAGAATTATGCTTTCATGTAATTGAAAGTTGTCGCTTCTTAATTTGCTTTCTAATAATGTCAGTAAATCATGTATCTTTAGAACACTTCAGGAAATAAGGAAATAATTTATTTGCCTTGGGTGCGTAGTTTAAGGAGGAGCCAATAACTTCAGTTACCAATACTTTGATGTAAAAAAATATTGAATCAAGCCAGTGTCTCACACTTCTAGTTACTCAGGAGGCTAAGATTTGGAGGATCACAGTTCAAACCAGAGCTCTACCGTGTAAAAGCATCTCTATTCCCAAGGATTTGGAGATAAGAATGTCCACATTTATTTCACTGAAGTCTCTAGCAGAGATGGTCAGTGATCCCCATTTTAAGAGACATTCATTTCTAGTGTATGAAGCTTATAATTAGGGCCTAAGTAAAGGTATTTCCCATCCAAGGTGCCAGTGGCTCACTCCTGTAATGCTAGCTGCTCAGGAGACTGAGATCTGTGACCCAAAGCCAGCCCCGTAGGAAAATCCGTTAGAATCTTATCTCCAATTAATCACCAAAAAGCTGGTAATGGAGCATGGCTCAAGTGGCAGAGTACAAGCTTTGAGCAAAAAGTTTAAAGACAGTGACCAGCCCCTGAGTTCAAGCCCCATCTCTCACCTATAAGGCTAGTGCTTCAGGACTGTGGCACAGGTAAAGTGAACACTGGCATGGAAAAATACCTGCTGGGCATGTACCAAACCAAAATCCATCCTAGTCCCCACACCTGTCCTACCTGTTTCCTTATGAGATGGTGAGGTGCTGGCCCAGGGTGTGTCATCTTCAAACTGAACCCAGTTGCTAATGGCTGAGGCAAGGTCAGGTGGAGGCTGTTCAGGGCTCCCAGGAGGGGAAGCTGCTTCAGAGATGAGGCCCATCTTTTCAGAAGAGTCATCCTGCTCTGAGTGGGAAAGATCCTGAGAGACTCCATCCACCACATGGTTCTCCCCAGAGGAGCTCTCAGATGGACCTGAGGAAGATGACAGTTCTGGGAAGTGCTCTTCAGTGCCCCCTGCAACATATATCAGAAAATACCATCACATGTGAAAGGACAGTCATGAAACTATCCCATAGAATCAAATACAAAAGATGGGTAAGAGACAAAATAGCTATGCCATTCTATTCCTATGCTAAAGGCTTGCTCCCTAACAAATGTCTAGGATGGCTGGGAAGAGGAGTCTTGTTATCATTCTATATCAGCATTCACTCTATTACTTGAGGGAGGGATACTGTGGCATGTTTACAGAGGTCCAACAAAACTACCTGAGTAGAGTGGCACAAGTGAAATGCAATGACTAGCTGAACAGTTGAGCGTCTCTCTACTAAATACATTCAAATTTCAAATTTCTGTGGCCCAGCTATGAGGTGGAAACTCTGAAAGTGACAAAGAGGTCTTCCTATAGCTTCTGTCACTTCACTGGCCCTGGAACATTAAATACACACACACACACACACACACACACACACACACACACACACACACATTGATTATGGTGATAGATACATAAATCTAAATGAGCTAAAATGTATCAACTTGCTGGGTGCTGGTGGCTCATGCTTGTAATCCTAGCTACTCAGGAGGCTGAGATCTGAGGATCACAGTTCAAAGCTAGCCTGGGCAAAGTCTGTGAGACTCTTATCTCCCGTTAACTACCAGAAGTGGAGTTGTAACTCAAAGTGGTAGAGTATTTGCCTTTCGCAAAAGAGCTCAGGGATAGCTCCCAGGCCCTGAGTTCAAGTCCACAGCCAACAGAAAACAAACAAACAAAAAAGAAAAAAAACAACACAAAAATTCCCAAAGGCACACCACTCATCTATGATGAGCCAGGTTTGAGTTCCAGTAATCTGTCTCAGAGCCTTTGTCATTTTTAACAATTACAGTTAAAATTTGGAGAAATCAAAACAGCCACTAAAAAAGGCTGCTGGCAAAGTACTTTGCAAACAGGAAGTTATTGGAAGAAAAGAACTCATAGTTTTGGTGCTTCCAGACTCTTCTTTAGGGCCTTAAGGTTACAACGATGTCTTTTCTCTGGGCTTTTTATTATTGTTGTTGCTGTTTTGGCAATTCTGCCTGACAATTGCTAGGCAGGCACTCTACCATTTGAGCCATGTCTCCAACCCTTCTTGCTTTCAGCTGTTTCTAGAGTAGACAAGTGTGTGTCATCACACCCTGTTTTTTATTGACTGAAATGAGGTCTCTCAAACTTTTTGCCAGGCTAGCTTCAACCCACCGTCCTCCTAATCTCTGGCCCCTGAGTAGGTAGGGTTTTAGTGGTGAGCCACCAGGCCCAGGAGAACTCACTCACCTGAGAAAAGTGACCAAACCAACTCCATTCTACCTTCCTTTCTGAAGATCCCACTGAAACAATGATCAATGTAAGCCACAACACACAGGCACAGAACTGTGCCAGTCTTATCACTACAGGAAATAAAATATTCCTTACCCTCAGAAGGGACAAGAAAGAGTGGCTCTTCATTGAAGGAGACCCACTCTGACTGATGGGTTGCGATCACATGGTCCAAGGTCGTCATGCTAAGAAGGTAAGAAGGCACTGGTCATCTTCACACTGTTGACCTCATGTGGACCCCAGAGGAGTGTCTGGGGTGGGAAGGGTGTATGGCAGCACGGATGACTTGGCCTCGAGTCTGTTGCTGGGGTCTTACAGGGGCAACAATCAAAGAATGGTAGGGTGGTCCTTCTTGCCTTTGAGTAATCTGCCAAGCAGAAATCTGTTTTTTGGAAAAACAACAAAAAGAATAACCATCACATTATACCCAAATTCACACAGGTCTAAGGCTTTTAGCACTGCTCATGATTCTGAGCTGTTTCCTACTAGATTACTTCTCTCTGTTTTTCCTTGCTTTCATTTTTAAAAATAAAGTACCTGCCATTACCACCAAGGTCTCTAGACAAGCCTTTATCTCAGACTTGTAATTAATGACTCAAATTTTTAGCAAGTAGATTCTCTAATTTCTTCAATCACTATGTTTTGGAAACACTGTTCTTATAATACAGTGATATCACTATAAAGCAAATATTCAAGTCTTTCAAAGTGTTTTCAATTTCTTTTACCAGATGGTGATATTCACTACTGAATCAATGCAGTTTCTTGCCTTAGGCAGGTAGCTAATTTAAATTTTTGGCAGAAATCCAAAAATCTCCAGATGGTATCTTCAAGCATGGTTTACCAATCTAGAGAAACAGATATGGAATTGTCTTGTTCATTTAGAGTGAGAGGATAAGAGAATATTTGCTTTAATGAAAATGTGAATGATGAAACACATTTTCAATATAAGCCAATTTCAATTAGTATATAAATGTTAAGCAATTATGTTCTATCTACACAGGATACTTAATTGTCCCATAATTTATATTTATAATTAATGTGCTATTAGTGTCTTTTTACAACCAGAATGTAGTTGTTGATCTTTTGATGAACTAATAAAACTGGAATTAATGCAAAATTAATGTGCTGCCACAAAGACTGTCTTGAGTAATATCAATTCTTATTAACTGAATACTCTCAATATTCAGATAATTTCTGGAACAACTTAACTCATAGCCTTCCAACTGGCACTGGCACACAATATCAAGAAAGGCTGAAGAAATTTTACTACAAGTTATTACATTCAGTAAATAATCTATGCTGGAGAAAATCAGAATAGAAATGTTAATTGTTTTGTCTTTTTGGTGATTAAAACATTTAACTTTGTTTCATACTTCCTAAAAACAACAAATATATAAAATTAACAATTTTTAGAAACATACTTCTATACTTCATTTGACTCAATATACCCATTTTAGATGAATAGACAGTAATTCTTTTATAGATTACAAAGCTTTGTGTCCAGAAATTAAGTGACTGACTCAATACTTTAAGTGTATAAACATGACCTGGTACTCTTATTTGGTGCTCTACACACTTCCACACTTCTAAGAGGAAGAACTCACAAATCTTAGCACACTGACAAAATGACTTTTTTTATTCTACAATAAGATCCTCCCAAAAGAGTAACAGTATAGAAGCCAAAACAAACAGGTGGATTTAGTACACTATATTAGGAATTGATAGATCCAATCCTTGAACTCTGGTCTTCTGATGCCAAAACATTCTAACCTTTAGACCACAGCCATGAAAAAGTGCTACAGAATATATATGAACTGTCAACCAACTAAAGTACTTTATAAACATCAATTGCAATGGAACTGTAATAACACTTCCTAGGAAACTCCCCATATGAAAATATGCCAGGTCTGCCACAGATTGAACATGTTCAAACAGTCTGGCGAGTGAACATATCCCAAAGCAGATCTTAGCAGAGAGCAACACAGAGCCCACATAAAAAGCTGATTCCTACAAGCTTCTGCCTAGGAAACCTTGCCCAGGCCCTATCAAACATCAGTGTCAGTCAATGTGGTAATGGCTGCAGGCCAAGATAAGACAGCAAACAGCAGCAGCATGTAAACCCCCATCCTCTGCCCTGCAGCTCTCCTAAAGAAAGCCACAATGCACATTCACATGCTGACACATGCAGTGTCATCATTCAATGGGGAAAACATCCTGCTGAACTCGTGATGATGAACCCAGAACAATCCATGGATAAGTGGAGTAGGGGGAGGGAACAGGAGAAAGAGAAGGAAGGGGTAAAGGTAATAGGGGAAAAAAGAAACCAAGAAACTTTAGAATTAAGGAGTTTTAAAGATCAACAGTGCAGCATTCCAGTTTTAGTGATGGGAAAACTGAGGTGCGAGGAATTCATATTTAACAATGGAGCTAAGATGTCAGGCTGCAGACTGAGTCCTGTGCGATCTTTACATAGCCTCTCTCTGTAAGCCTTGGTTTATTCCCATAATGGCAGATGGCCTTCGAGGGATGACTGTACCAGGTCTCATTCCAAACCCTTAATAAGCATCAGCATCACCATCAACACTGCTGTTGTGAAGTGTCTCATCCTGGGTTGTATGGCAAGGACTAGGAGGGAGATTTCATGAAGTCCCTCATCTTTGTCATTTTTGCATTCTGGGATTAGTGATTGTCCTTTTCGGTCATTATTACTGCAGTTCTAGAAGTTAAATGGAGTCCGCCACTCAGTAATGGGGCACAGAAGACGAGTTCTGAAATGTCCTTATTACACAAACAGGTCCATTCTAGCTGAGGAACCAAGACCACCACCCAAAAAAATATGGTTGAGAGAAAAGCCCCAGATTTAGCTACTCTTCCTTAGCTTGTCTATCCCTGACCAGACATGGACAAGGTGTAAATAATGAATATCCTCAAGAAAGGCTTAATGGATCATTTTCTACAGGGAAGCCCTATCATAACCCTATGAAACAGATTCTAGGCTTTTGCCATGGAACAGCCACCTCCAAGAAGCCAGAGACACTGGACCTTGAAAGTGCTATGCTGGCAACTCAAAACCCACAGAGGGACCCAGTCATGGTAGGGCTAAGTTCAGACTGGGATAAGTTCCTCAGTTAAAAAAACCTCACCCCATTTTTAGAATGTGAATCATAAAGTGAGGCTTAGAGTCACCACAAATGAGTGCTGACTCAGAATCAGCAGCAACACTGACAGGGAGACATTAAATGTTTCATTGTAGTCTTTCTGTTGCCACTGAAGATAGTCCTCTCAGCATCCCTCACACCTAGCATTGGGAGTGAACACTGTAATTGGCTAACACGGGTCATAGACATATGACTCTTGTATACGTCTTGTATTACATCTACCCTTTTATGTTCGTTCATGCACCCTTACATGTGTGGAAATGTTCCAGGAACCCTTTGAGATAGAGACCCTTGAGCAGCTCTCCTCTTAACTGAGACAAAGACACACAGAACAGAAATAACAAAGACGAGGGGCTGGGAAGGTGGCTCAGTGGTAGAGCGCTTGCCTTGCATGCCTGAGTCCCTGGGTTCGATTCCTCAGCACCACATAAGCAAAAAGAAAAAAGCCGGAAGTGGCGCTGTGGCTCAAGTGGTAGAGCGCTAGCCTTGAGCTGAAGAGCTGAGGGACAGTGCCCAGGCCCAGAGTTCAGGCTCCATGACCGGACCCAAAAAAAAAAAAAAGAAAAAAAAGAAATAACAAAGACGAGTCCCAGAGTAACTGCCTGTGAAGGGCACACTATGGGTGCTGTGACAGTTTAGCTATAGGGCAATCTTTGAGGGCTAGAGTCATAAGGGCACAGGTTTGTGGATTTGGAGGATGGTCTAAGGCTGAAGGGGAGAGAATACGGATTCCCTTGGACAGAAGACTAGCTTGAATGAACAATAACAAGCTGACTCCAGCAAGGCTTTTGTTCCTGTATCTGATGGATGATAACAGAGGTACCCATAGGGGAAATATTGGGGAAAAGCGAAGGAGACAATTCAATGGGGAGTGAGAAGCTGCAGCATGCTCAGGGGAGATTAATATTGCTAGGACTGTGCTGGGCCCAGAGGGTTCTAGAGTCACTGGGTATAAGAAGAACAACATGGCACTGCTGCCTTCAAATAGTTTAAGGTCCACGTGGGCAGGGAGGTGTGACAGTGACCATCTTCCGCATTTCCCTAATCTGTTCTGATGGTTTATTTACTACTACTACAACTGTAGCAGAGTAAAGCAACCAGACACTACTGAGTCAGGAGGACTGGGAAAGAAAAGCAGAGGGGAGAGGCATATAGGAAGGGTGCAGGAGCAGCAATCCTAGCCAAAAGTGAAACACAGTTTATCTGAAGCAGAGGAAGTGGTGTAGGGAATGCTAAAAAAGGAGTGACAGCTCTTTTTTTTTTTTTCTCAGAATGAGAATGTGCTGATTCTCAAATTTCTTAAAACCATTCTTCATTACCACTCCACTGCCTTGGCTACAATTCCCACTGTCTTATCCAGCTACCTGTCATTTACCAGTCCTGTGTCTTCAGCATCACCTCACCCCTCCAGCTTGCTACTCAACCTATCACGTTACAGTGTTTTCCTAAACCTGAAGACAGCCATGCTATGGTTCTGCATAAAAACTCCTTTGATCCCCACGGTATAACCCCTGCTTTCAATGTATTTGATATTGGTATAATTTGTGGAGGGGAAGGGAAAAAACAAACCGTTTAAATAAGGATACAGGTGGACCCATTGCAACAATGAGATGTACAAGTCGTTATGTTGAAAACAAACTTTACAACTTTGGTGTGGGGAGGGGGAGGAGGTTTGGGTGGGGGGAAGAGATGGGGAGAAAGGATGGGAAGGGATGAGAAGGGGAAACAAAGGAGGAGGCTACAATGCTTGATAAGAAATGTACTCATTATCTTGCCCATGTAATTGTAACCCCTCTGTACAGTATTTTCACAAGAAAAAAAAAGAAGCTAACATATCTGTTTTACTAAGATAAAATAATTAAAGGAATGCATGTTTGACATTAAAAAAAAAACTCCTTTGTAACTCCCCATAGTATAAAATGAGAATGAGCAATGAACCAAGGTTCTCTAAGAACAGATCTACATCAGTGCTGCTAGGCTTCGCAGTAAGCACAGTACCTGGTACATGTCAGGAGCTCAATAAATGTTGCAACACCAATGTAGATACCTTGAGATTCTACGCCTTCAACTTCTCTAATCTCATTTGCCTTTATCTCCTCATCTAGGCTCGGTATTCCAGTTAAATGAATTCTATATTCATTAGAGTAGGGAGTAATGATGAATTATCTAAAAGACTACTTGTGCATATGCCTGGTGCTCCTTAACCACTTGTTCATATATTTTT